AAGACTTACGATTATTTACGGTCTCAAAGTAATCTTGTAATGTTAAAATGTTTCTGTGCCCTTGTGAAATTCTCTTTAAAACAGTGATTTCATTTCGGACCATATGCTCTCTACCTTCCATCAACTTTTTGTTGATGACTTTTACGGCAAAATATTCTCCTGTTTTAATCTAAAAAAAAAATTTTTTTATAATAAATAATTTAGATATATAAGTATTTTATCAAATAATGGTGGTACTCGTAAATAATTTTTTTTTCGATATGCTTTAATTATTACAATATAAACAGAAAGAAACGGAAAGTATACGTACATGTTGGGCCTCTGTAAATCAATACAAAGAGAGACGCGAGTAAAATAATAATAATAATAATAATGTATAAGAGTTTGCTTTCTTTTTAAGTACGAAGTTCCAACATGACCCGAACAGCAACGCGCCAAGGCAACTTGAAGAGAAACGGTCGATAGACACTAACCTTTTACCACGGCATAGGTGCCTTGACCTAGCGTTTTACCAGTTCTATACTGAATTCGAATTTCCGTATAAAAGCATAAACCTTAAGTCCTTGACTTCCAAAAGCATATTTTATAAAAACTTTCAATTCAGAATAACACATACCTGGCAAGGGACAGTTGCAACAGCAGACATTTTTAATATGAGAAAATTTGTTGGAAGAAGTGCTCGTGTTTCTTTGTCTTTTTTTTGCGAGGAAAGTGTCTCCAGAGAACTCAATATACTGTGTAAATTTTTTTTTTTTTATGCAATTTAACCCTGTTACACCGATTTGATTGTGGCTTGTTGTTACAAAGACTGGAAATCAAATCCGTTGTTCAAATACGATTATCAAAAAAAAAAAATTCCGAAAAAAATCAATATAATAATTTGTGGATAATTTGCCAAATCAAGAATTTAGGCTTCACGACAGTGCTAAATTGCATTATTTTTTGGTCACGCGATTTAAATTTAATAAAAATATGTATCGTTCATCGATATATTTCGCGCATTTGAACTTGCTTTTGGAAGATAAGAGCTTTTGTTAGCGCTTATCATGTTATGCTAACAAAATCCGAAAAGAATTTTTATATATCTATCAATGAATCGATTTAAACAAACTAAAAATTTTTTATAAATTATCTAATTTATATGATTAGCACAATTATATTATAATAATATTAAATATTAATTTAATCTCCACCCTTTAAAAAATCCAGAAAAGTTTCCTTAGACATATTCGCAACTTGAAAATGAAAATAGAAATTAATTTAATCCAAATGAACAATAAATGCGTGTAAATCTAGTAAAAAAAAAAAAATAAAACATTTTTTTACCATCTTTTGCATCTCTCGTAGTTAATTTTATCTCGCCACCAGCGGCTTTTACTGCGTCATCCGTAACCTTTTGAGATTTACGGATCGCGTTAAACAGTTGTACAACTATGATTGAAATAAGAAAAGTTAATAATTAACTTAGCATATATAATAAGTAACGCGAAATATTTAATATAATATAACCTCCTCTAGTGGCTAGCTTTCTCAATTTCCTCTCATAATCAATAGAAGTGAGATTAGTTTTTACACGATCTTTGGATGCGAGCTTCTTCTTTTCCATATTTATAGCTCTACGTGCTCTATATTCAAGTTTAGCCTCATTTATTCGACGCTCTATATCTTTTGATCGTGATAAAATTGGTGACTTTTGAAAATTGGAAAATTAATTTAATTACAGGTAAAATTAAACAAACGATTGAATTCAATCAAGTAATGCATACTTCTTGGCAATGAGGCTCTGCAGTAGCTGTTAATAACTTGTTCATAGTTTCTGCGAAGCTGGTAGTTGTATTCTTGGATTGTTTTTTCGTTTTTTTCGTTTCTGTAATACCAATAATAGGAACATATAAGTGAGGTGATATAGTCAACGTTTTAATATTTTGATGTAACGTATACAAATGATTTTGTCTGGTCACCAAATTCTTTTTATTAAAA